CTCAATAATTTTAAGATGTCACTGGAGAGGTGGCCTAAAACTAATAATACTAGTAATCATAAACGATTGAGCTTTTATTGTTTTCTACCAAACCAACCCAAAATAAATCCTCTGCCTTTGGGTTGATGCCAACTCATCGTGACACGATAGGGAAGAATAGCATCATCTCAAAGGGTTTCCAAAGCTGTAAATTTTTATGGAAGCAGACTGTCACACCTCAATTTCATTGGGCAGCTGATTGGTTCATCTCGATGACCTGATTAGTAGCCAATTGCTCACCACAGTGCCACCAAGGCTTCTTCATGATGGGCCAGGTGCTATTTTAATTTCTTCAGTTCAGTTTATTCACCAGTGTCATCTCTTTTTGATAGATGAGGTTTCTGAAGCTTAGATATGGTAATTAAACCTACACAATTGGAAAATGAGTCAGGTGATCTGACTCAAATGGCAATGTGAACTCCAGAACCTGGATAGTATTTGTAAGCACTCACACTCACAGTCCCAGCACTTAAAATAAAGAGCTCGAATAGAATGTGATAGTTTTGACATCAACATCTGTTTGAGGTAGCACTGGTTGGGAAAGGAGACCTGGTGGCATAATGGTTGAAGCGGTGGACTGCTAACCTCAAGGTCAATGGCTCAAAGCCTCCAGCTGCTCTGTGGGAGGGAGAAAAGACTGTCTATTCCCATAAGATTACAGTCTCGGAAATGCCAAGGATAAGTTTTGCTCAGCCCTACAGGATCTCTATGGGTTGGAATAAACTCTGGGTTGACTTGGCCTGGCTAGGTATTGGCTGAAAGCGAGGAGGATGTCATTCTTCCTAGAGTGTGAATAGTGACCTGCATCTCATCCTCAGCAGAATCAAATACATTTAATTATTCTATGTTGCAGTTGGAGGAAATGAAACCTCTTATCGAAGAGCCCCAGAAGTTAGTCAAAAAAAACTGTGACCTTTTTAACAAAATTGGAGAGTATGGCTTCCAAAATGCGTAAGTAATTTTGTATTTTGGCTAGTTTTTTTTTCTTGTTGGATTTACAGCTATTGAAGAATTAGTAGATCCCTGGATCCCAAGTGCCCAGATGGTAATTGTCTACTAACTGGAAGATTGGTAGTTCAAATCCATTTAGCAGTTGAATAAAGGCTCATGACAGATTTCAGTAATGATTAAAGCTAAGAAATTCTTAAGGCGTTACAGATACTCTGTAACACATGGGATTGCCTTGAGTCAGAATTGACTTCATAGCAAAGGGTTTTTTTGTGTATTTTTATTAATGTGGAATTCTTAACATAGACATTTCAA